AAAAAGCCTTGAATATGGCACTTTAAAAAAAAAAATCTCAGGGCTAGGACGAAGAAGACGTTACTGGCACCTGCTCGAGGCAATCGACGAACAACAGGGTGGTCGTGATCGTGATGTATTGTGTGTAGTTATAATATGTATCACATAGCACATAGTATGTGATATTATAGCATCTGGCATATAGTGTGTAGTATATAGTATGTGTCCCTGTACCTTATAGTATATGCTGTGTGATACATAGTATGGACATATAGAATGTAGAACAGAGTATAGGATATAAAGTGTATTGTGTAGCATGTGCTATTAGTTTGTATCTATAGTGCCATATATGTATGCGTGCATCTGTTTGGCAGCATATAGTTTGAAGCATACTGTAAAGGGTGTAGTGCATAGTCTATGATGTATGTTGGTATATGCAACATAGTCTATGTTGCATCCCAGTGAACAAGGCGGGAGCCATGTCTCCTTTGTGACCTACCTGAGACATGAGATAGCGTCACTCCGCCAGATGCAGTGTAGGAGCCGTCCCAAGGCTGCTCAAGGACACGTAGCTGGAGCCGCCCGCATGAAATACCATGCAAGGTAATGCGGGCCTTGGGTGAGGGTGCCGCACGAGAGAGCAACCAGCGCAGAGCTGAGCAGCCAGGAGTGTCCCTTGGCTACAATCAGTGGCATCTTTGTTTTCAGGCAGGGCCTCTGCCCTGCACAGCATGAAGCGCTTATGTCCACACAGAGTTCAGCCTGCGTGGAGCTGGTGATGAACACGCTTGCCTGACTTTCTCCTAAAGAGAAATGCCTCAACTTTAAATGACTCCGTGGGCACCAACGGTGTCGTGAGTCTGGGAGAATGATGTGGGCAATCCCTGGGCAGCTGCTCCCTGCCAGGCCTGTGAGACCCAGTGTGGCCAGACGAGGGGCTGGAGCAAGCCAAGCTCTTTAAGGATCTTCTGAAGCGAAAGACTCTCATGGAATTAGATTGGGGCCGTGTAGAAACCCACTGCTTCATTTTCCTCTTTAAAATAAGTTTCCTGATGTGGGTATCATTTATTTATTTCCTTCATTTATCCAGTTTGAATTATTCAGGGGCTGTGTTTGGGTGCTTAATTGGGCAAGGTGCTAACGACCCTGGTGACGTGGCCAGGGAAAGGGCTGTTCGCACGTCAGGCATTTTCCAGATAGATCCTATTTTCTGGAACAGGGCACTTAGTTATTTATTAAGAACTATTGACCCAATATGTTGTCTTGGATTTGTTATCGCTTTGCCGGGTGGGACCCTGAGCATCAGGGTCCAGGGAGGAGACATACTGTTACCCTGGTACTGTTTTGTGAGTGGTGTTTATTTATTTAAATGTTCATCTACTTTAGGCTTAGGGACTACAACAGGCAGAATTCAGGGATCATTTCTGGTGGTGCTCTGGAGATCTAAGCCAGGTCAGCTGTGGGTGAAGCAAGCACCTTCCTCCATGTAATCTCCTGATCTCCTGTGAGGGTCTTTTATAAGAACAAAAGAACAAGCCCCAAGGGTGAAACAAGAACCAAGGACAGGGTCTTAACAAATTCCTTGCAGCAGGTACTGAAATGGCTATTTTTCACAGGTGATGACTGGCAAAGGTTTTATTTTTAAACCCTGACTATTTCTCATTTGAGAATACTTTTTGTTGCTTATCTTTCTCCCCCAGTATCCCCCAATATGAGAGGTAATAAGCAATTTTTTGTTGCTTATTACCTCTCCCCCAATATGACGTGTGCAAGAAAGATGGGATTGTGCAGATAGGAATTCATGGTCTGCAAAAGGATGTCAATAATGATCAGTTGCTCAGACTTCCTGGGCCAGTAATGAGCCTTTTGTTACAGGGATGTTTTGATGCCCGTGTGGCAATTTGAGTTAATGAAATCACATTCAAGTATGAACCACCAGTGGTACACACAAGCATCACTGTGCTAAATGAGGTAACATCCCCCCTCCCACCCACAGACTCTGGCTGAGTAATAGAGGGTGCACTCCCTGGTGGGGTGTTGTGCTCCGTTTGTCTAATGTCCTAACAGAAGCAGAGGACATAGAGGCCACGGACGTGGAGCTTTTGTGAACTGAGTATTTTCAAGATTTACCTTCACTGCCTCTAAGTCAGGGTGTTGGTACCTCTCCCCCAAACAAAACATTTCAGAGAATTGAGAAATACATATTTTTAAAATTTTTATGAGTGAAACACCATGAGGTACAGTTGTAGACTTACAAATTTTTGTGCTTGGGTTTCAGTTATACAATGATTGAGTGCCCATCCCTCTACCAGTGCCCATTCTCCACCACCAATGATCCCAGTATCCCTCCTACCCCCCAATCCCCCCATCCCCCCCACCTCAGTGGCAGGGCATTCCCTTTTGTTCTCTCTTTCCTTTTGGGTGTTGTGGTTTGCAAAAGAGGCATTGAGTGGCAATCCTGTTCGGTCTATAGTCTATTTTCAGCATGCATCTCCCATCCTGGGAGGATACTCCCAACACCCTTTATTTGTGCTCCCTTCTGGAAGAGAAATATTTTGACAGGGTTTGGACATTCATCCTGTAGCAGCCAACACACAGCGGTACACCTCCACATTCTCATTTACTTCTTGCCACGACCTTAAGAAATTCACTATGACACCCAGGATCCAACCACCCGCAAATGCATGTCTTGATGCGGCAACTATTTCCCATCAGGAATTCCTCTGGGTCAGCTTGAGCGAGTCTGACTTGTGCCAGACTGGGCTGATCTTGACTGAACTTGTCCATGTTTCTGCAGCCAGTAAGAGGCTCAGATGGTGCTGATCAGCCTCCAGTGGCTTCAGCTCACTGCCTCTGTTCTGTGCGTTTCTGACCCTCCTGCAGTGCATCCTGGGATGTTGCTTGTTGGTGGTGCCAACTGTTCCAGGAAGAACCATGACATTACTGTACCACTGGTCCTTCAGCCAGATGCTGCATTGGGGTGAGAAGGCTCATCCAGTGGGAATGGTGTCAGGGAAGCACGAACCGGGGTGGCTTTAGTGCCCTGGACCCTCACTGTGGGCATTACAAAGATCCCATTGCTGAAGGATGACGTATTGGACCTGGTGGTCACTAGCCTGGGTCCTGCTGTCATATTCTTTCTGATCATCTACCACCCAGGGAGGGATTGTGTTCCTGTGGGATGCATTTGCCCCCCTTTCTTTTTTTTTAGTCTGTTAGATCACACTTGGCATTGCTCAGGCCTTACTCCTGGTTCTGCATTCATCAATCATTCCTGGGGTGGAGTTCTGAGGGATTGAACCAGAGGTCAGCCGTGTGCAAGGCAGCTGCCTTACCCCTGCACTATTTCTCTGGACTTGCCTTTGAAATTTCATGTAAAATTTTGGGGTCTGATCAACGAAGCCTGGTAAAATGACATCTAGACTCAGTAAAGAGACGTTTACATTTTGGACAAAGTGATGGAGAGGCAGACACATTCTTGGAAGGAGCAAAAATGGAAGAACACAAGAGAATGTTTATCCTTTGTTTTCTCATCCCCTCCATCCCGTTTTGCCTGGCTCAGACTCCCTTCTGGCTGTGACTCTCTCTGGATATCCAGATTCCACATTGGAAGAGGGTTAGGATGGTGCTACTAGGCTGGGAATTTGAAGCAAGAGAGTCCCCAGCTTCCCTGAGCCTCCACTGCCCCCTGGGTGAGTGAGAGGAGGAGGAGAGAGAGAGCTTGGGATTGGGGTTCACAAGCACATCTGGGGTCCAAGGTGGGACCAGTTTGCACCAACCTGAGGCTGCAGTGACCCACCACTGCTCTTCAAGCACCTCCCAGCACCTGAACTCGGGCTTCGCAGCTGCAGCGACTCCGGGTGAGCTGCCAGGGTGGCGCAGGAGGCTGGGCCGCAGGAAGACTGCTAATGGTTTTTATGGTTTTGTTGAGTACCCCCAAACTACAGTTATTAATTATCTCTCGCTGTGTTGACATCCTTGCAACAGATACATTTTGTTAATTGATTTGTATAGGCTCCTATCTGACGCCGTAAAGAATGTGCAGGATCATAACACTTACACGGGCTCGTAATTGTGTTTTACTGCCCTCTCTCGCCTCTCAGACAGGGAACAAAGGCTTGGCGGACAGACACCCGCGGCCTCCAGTCTGAGGATCACGCGTGCCCAGCAACCTGTTGATGGCTGCCCCGGAAATGTACTGAACCCACACAACAAGAAATGTGTTCTTTTCTTGTCTGTCACCGCATGATCCCAAAAGGTGACAGAGGCACCGCAAATACGCCCCGACTTCTCCGGAGCCATTCTTGAACCTCTGGTTATTTTTGAGTGCCTGTAGGCTCTCTGAGGGAGATGCAGGCTGGTGGTGGACGGTCCAGGGCTACCCGCGCCCCGCCCCGAGGCCCAGAGAGGTTAAGGGCTTGCTGCCTGCGTGCCTTAAAGGTGGCAACTTCCTGCCTAAGCGCCAGACTCCAGGCAAGTTTAAGCGTGGTGGTCTCCCCTGCAGCCGCGCCCGGGCCAGCACCTTGCACCCCAGCCTTACCCACGAGCCTCTAAAGAGCTGTCTTCGCCCGCGCCGGGGCCCTACAGGCCCACCGGGGTGTACCCTGCAGCCCCCCTCGGAGCTGCTCTGGGGTTTTCCAGCTTCAAGTAGCGCGCGGCTTCCCCCCACCCCGCACCCCCAGATCTGGCGGCTCGGGGTCCCGCGCGGCGCCGCAGCATCGCCCGCCCGCCCGGCACGGCCGTGGACTCCCAGGGCGTGGCAGGTCCAGCCCCCTCCACCCCCCAAGCGTCCCCGCAAACGACGCGCGGACCCCCGGGGCGCGCACTCCTCCGCACCGCTGCCCTGGAGAAACCCGGAGACACGGGGTGCAGGGGGTGCCGGGCCGGGGGGCTCCGGAGCGCCGTCGTGGAGGAAAGTTGGGGCGCCCGGAGCCCGACGCGCGGGGGCGGGCCGCGGTCCGCGCCTCCGGAGTGTGCGGGAGTCGCCTCCCCCTGCGTGACGTCACGGCCGGCCCGGGGTGAGCGCCCGAGCCGCGCGGGGTCCGCGCCAGTGAGCGCAGCTGCTGCCGGCGAGCGGCGGGCGGCGGGCACGGCAGGCCGGGCGACCCTGGGGGCGGCGGCGGCGGCGGCGACGATGCGGCCCGCGAGGCTGGGCTGGTGGCCGCTCCTGCTGGCGCTGGGCGTGGGGAGCAGCGTCGGCGGCGGCGGCGGCGGGGACAGCCGGCGGCACCGCCTTCTCGCGGCGAAAGGTGGGTGCTGGGGAACTTTCCTCTTCCCGGCCAGGGCGGCTGGGGCGCGGGGACCCGGACTCGCCGGTGCCTCGGCTCCCCGGCCCCCGCCGCGGCTCCCCGGCCTCCGAGATCCGGGAGTCCCCGAAGTCCGCGCCTGGCGCCCCGGACGCGGCGCGGCTGCACCCCGGGGTGGTGATGGTTGGGGTGGGGGTGAGGTCCACCTGCCGACGCCTGGCCCTGCCCTGCGCTGGGTTGCCCGGGCCGGAGGCGAGAGCCGGGTGCGGGGCGCGGGGGCGCAGGGCTAACTTTGGGGGGTGTCTGCGCCTGGCGGTCAGCGCGGGCCCCGGCGCGGTGCAGCGGCTACCCCCGGCCGGGGCCGCCGCTTTCCGAGTCGGCGCGGGGATGCGCTGGAAACTTGCGGGCGCGCCCGGGAGTAGGGGTCGTGGGGGTGGGCTCCCCGGCGCCCCCGGGAGCACGCACCGCCGAGTCGTAAAGAAGTGCGGGAGCGTAGGGGCCCCCCAACCCCCCACCGGGAGGACCGCGCCCTTCCCCCGCCCGGGCGCGCGCGCGGTCCCCGGGGGGAGCTTGACCTCGGCGTCCCTCCCGCGGGGACAGCAGGGGGCAGCGATTCGGGGGCGCGCGGTGAAGGGCCCGGAGCCTGACAGCTGCCGGGGGAGCCGGCAGGACCGGGCGTGGAGTCCAGTCCGACGAGGATGGGACGCAGCAGGGGGCGCACCTGGAAGGGGGAAAGTGGGGCGGGGGGCGCGCGTCCGGGGCCCGAGCGCCCAGTTTGGGGATGACTTGTTGATTCTCGGCACTGTTGAGGACGAGGGCACTTGGTTTGGGGGCGGGGGGCTGTGGCCCAAGCTGCCGGGTAACAGGGGTGGGTGGCTTCGGGAGAGGGGGCGTCCTAGAGTCCGGGTGGCTGTTCTGCGGGAGAAGAGGGCTGTGGTCATAGGTGAAGCCCGCTTGGAGCCCCCCACCCCCTCAGTCAGCTGGCCTTGCTCCTGGCTCGCTGGTGGCTGCAGGAGCCCGTACGGTTAGGGGGTTAGGGTTTTAATGACACCGGGAAGGCGAGGGGCCTGGGTCGTGCTGCGCCTGCAACTTGAGAAAAGAGGAATTTAAGGATTTGGGAGTTTCCTTGAGCCTGTCTGGTTCAGCTTTTGAATGGCCGGTTTTGGGAGCTGTTCTCTGTAGTCTGGCCTTTTATTTCATCTCAACAAGTTTCCCCCCCTTGGCTTATCCTGGAGAGGCAGTTTCTTTGAGGGATTGGGGGGCGGGGGGTTGGAGGTGTGTATTTGAGGTTGGGGGGAGGGGAGACCAAGAAAAGCTCCGCTCTGAGAAGGGCTTTATCCTACTGTGGTTCTGGGCGGGTCCATCCCGAAAAATTATTTTGGTGAAAGCAAGGAATTTAAAATACAGCGTTAGCCCGAACCTTTCCTCACCCTCTTCCCAAACAGGTACTTTGGGAAAACAGCTCTGGGCTTGAACTGGGGTCTGTAGCTGAGCCAGCGACATCCACAAACTGATGCCTGCGCTTGGGAATGCTCGCCGCAGCTGAGGGAGGGAAGGGACACGACTGTTTGGGAAGAGGACCTGGGGAGCTTTTTTGTGTGTGTGTCAAGTTGTGAGTGGAAAGCTTTGCAGAAAACAAGACAAAGCATTCCAGGGTTTCAGCCATTCCTGCTCCTGTGGGTATTTTTGTGCCTTTTGACCAACACCCTTTCTTGTCTGAACTAAGAACTTGTCCATTTCTTGGTGAAAACAAGTAATTTGTGTTTCCGGAGGGTTGTAGGGGACCGGGGATGTTGATGGACTCGTTTGATTCCCGTTCAAATCAAAACCCGTTCTTCCTTCTTTCTCTTGCTGACCACCAGAGGGCTGCAAAGAGCTCTGTTAAGTGGCTCAGAGGAAAACGACAAACGTGTAATATTTGATTCAAACAGAGACGTTTATTATGACACTTTAGTTGGTATTTACAGGACCGACATTCCTCATTACAATGCGCATGTTACGCTTCCACATCTCGTAATCTTGGGAGAACATTTGTGCCAATAAAAAGAAGCTTTTTTTTTTTCTCAGTATAACAGAGGGAGCCAGGCCACTGACTTGCTGCCTTGGCAAAGGTCCACGTTGCTCTTTCCACCCATCATAAAAATAAAGTCAGGAGGATGTGTGAAGAGGATAGAGATTTCTTTATGCCCCCCCTCCCCGCCCCGTCTGCATATGCTCATAGCAGAGAATCGGCAGCCACTGCTTGGCGAGAGTTGAATGTCCCCTCCGAGCCCTGCCCGCCTGAAGTGTCATGTCTGCAGTGGACAGCTTGTCCGGCCTTTGTGTTCCAGACTGCAGGGAAACAACAGTTAATCCCCCATGGTCGTTGGGGTCTTCACCTACCCACAGTGCTTTCAGTGCAAACGTACCCCTGCTTTCTGAACTAATGATCACGGGGCGGTGTCTAGAGTGACTGGGAGGACCCCAACTGGCTGCTGAGACACACGCACAGTGCACACTTGCTAGGTTCCTTGAAAAGACCTGACCCCCCCCCTCATGTGTGCGCACCTTTTAGAAGCAGAGCTGTAATAGTGTTGGGGACCCTCACGTCTTAGACAGAATGTGGGGAGGATGGTGGTGCTGCCTGGATAAGTCCCCAGCTTGGGGTTACTTTGGCACTTTCACTTTTCAGTGTCTGCCAGTCTGAGTGAGCTGAGGAGGTTCACTGGATAGTTCTTAGCATCCAGGTGTCGTTTGTTTGCTGGGGAGATTCTTGAGTGGAGGCCCCATGCTATTGGACCCTGGATCTGGTAAAGAACCAACAACCTCTCTCTCTCTCTCTCTCTCTCTCTCTCTCTCTCTCTCTCTCCACAGTTGCATCTCACTCCTCTCTGTCTTAAAGATCATTGATATAAATCAGAGAGAGCTTTGTGTATGGCAAGTTTAAGGGAAAGAGTGGACAGAAATTGTCCAAAGAATTGTGCTATGGGATGGGGCCTGAGTGGGAGAGGGAGAGGAGGAGGACCTGGAAGAGCAGTGTTAGTTCTAGGGAGGGGAGGAGGAGGGCACAACAGTGATCATGTGACTATCCTTGCAGCCAGGAAGCCCTCCTCCTTAGTAAACACCAGACATGGGCGCATCCCTCTGGACAGTGTCTAAGTTTTATACCTGTGCAAAGGGTATTAATCACGTCACAGATGAAGAACCAAAAGATATTAGCCCATTTCACAGATGAAAAAATGAAAAATAAAATCTAAGAGAGGACAAGTGATTTCCCCAGACCACCTGTTAGGGGAAGAGGAAGGGTTCCTGTGTCCCTTATTCACCAGGCAGGCTTCCCTGTCTGAAAACCAGACTGCCACCCCGTGTGTTTGGGAGTTCCAGGGACCATATGTGCGTATGTTTGAGTGTGTGTGTGTGTGTGTGTGTGTGTGTGTGTGTGTGTGCGTGCATGCTCTCTCTCTCTCTCTCTCTCTCTCTCTCTCTCTCTCTCTCTCTCGTACACACACACACACACACACACACACATACACACACACGACCCCCCTCCCAGTCCCCCCTCCCCCGCACACCAGCCAAAGAGGCTGGAAATGCAGGTTCAAAGGAGCCTGCTGGGGAGGGGAGGAAGGGGAAGGGACACTTTTCTCTGTGGAAACCTTTGTTCCTGCCTCTAGTGGCAGCCTTGTTCTGTGGGATGCGCAGATTCACAGTGCCCTGGCAAGTGGGCAAGTGCAGAGTCGTGCCCTGCGTAGCTTCCAACTGGGAATTGCTATCAGAGTCACCCCTAAACAAGGAATGTGTGGATTAACTCTTCTGGGGGTCCTCCTCTCCCCCCTGAAATTCAAATGACAAGAACCCCTCCGCAGAACCTCAGAGGGCACACAGACCTTCCAGGCCACCCCGCCACACCCCCATCTGCAGGGCGGGCGCCTTCCTCAGCCTCATCCCTTAGGCACACCCCGACGGGAGCACCATCTCCACTGGGACCTTTCCCTGCCGCCCCCTTGTCCTCCTGGGTCCCTCTGCCTATGTGCTCTGTTGGGGAGGGGGCAGGGGTTCTGGTCCGGCTCTGTGAGCCCCAAGGTCAGAATCTCGGCCCCACTCTTCTTCTTGTCAGGCTGCTTGCTTCCTCTGCATGGAGGGAGCTGAGCTTTGGACAACACGGATTCCCATTCACAGCCCGCACCTTCTCTCCTGTGTGAAGGGAAATGTGGGCTCTGTGGCGGAGACGAGAGAAGCCCCAGTCCTTGGCGGCCCAGACTCTTCACATACTAGATCACTGGGGAGAATTGGGTACTGTCAGGGTCTCAGTTGTTCTCTCTGTAAAATGGGGACGGGAGCCCCACTTTGCCATAAGCTAGTTGAAATCATGGGGGGGGGAGGTGCACTCTCCAGGTGTGTGACAGGCATAAAAGATGCTGTGACCTAGCACATTTACACCGGACTCCACAGTCTGAGATTTGGGGGAGATTCCCCCCATTTTTGACATCGAAGTTCTTAGAGTAGGCTCCGATCTCTCTTTTTTCTTTCGTCTCTGTTCCACTGTGTGGATCATGGATGTGAGGATGACACGTGAAACTACAAAAACTTGGGCTGGAGAGGTGGTACAGCCGGTAGGGCACTGGCCTTGCATGCAGCTAGCCTGGGTTCAACACCTCACAGGATTCCTGAGCCCTGTAGGAGTGATCCCCAAGTCCAGAACCGGGTATAAGCCTTGAGCACCACCAGTTGTGGTCCAACAACCAAAAGATGCAGGCACACGTGCGGACATCACGGCCCATGGGAAGCTGGTTGTGGCCTTTGGTGATTCTGAGCCTGGCATCAAGCACAGGGCCAAGCTGAGCCAAGCACGCCCTCAGCCATGTGCTCGGTGAAGTTCTGGCCACCATTTCAGTGCCCACAGTGGTCCAGACTTCCCTCTGCAGGTAGAAACTTCTTAAGAGCCGCCTTGTATGAGCTTCAAGGCTATTATGACTCACCCAGCCCCTCCAGCACCCCAGTATTTGCCTAGGACCCCCCCATTT